AATGAACAAGTCACTTACACATTTTTATAACCCATGCAAGTAAATTTTGAAAATTTGGCGAGCTTGAGGAGGGGGCTCCCCCTCCTCTCCTCGATCCGCCACTGATAGCCTGTACAAATGATGCACCGCTCTAACCGCTGCTCGCATTCAAAAACCTTGCTTCCTAACAGCAGTTTCCTGAGATAACTGTAGTGAACTGAAGTGCGAACTGAAAAAAATTGAAAACAATAAACAAACTGAACTCTGGCTGTCATCATCAGATGCTTAATCTACATTTTCAAGAGACAACGAGTTTTTATTCCGCTATCAAGGCCTTGGTCATACCCAGAGTTGAGCAAGAGGTCAGGCACAAGGCTTTCGAAAACGCCCCCCCCCCCTCTCCCATGAAAGCCCTCAAACGACCCTTTTTCCTCCTGACCTCCGGACCTCAGAGTGTTACATTCTGGGGGGCATCATCCTTTTCTAGAGAGTTTTCAGATTTTTGACTGTACGCCCGATTTTCTGTGACTGCACTTTACAATCACACGAATTTGACGCCTGATTTTGATCTGAATGGTTCTGTTGAAAGGACCATAGCCTTTCTAAGGGTGGGGCGTTCGGCTCCAAATTTCCACTGTAACAAGAAGAAGCTATGAGTTCAATAGTCATAGCAGGAATGGAGCGACTTCTGGATTTTGAAGGCAAGTTAATCGGGTCAGGCGCAATCCCTCAAAAGCTCAGGCCGCCTGACCTTTTGAGGGATTGCGCCTGACCCGATTAACTTTATCACCAAAGCAGCTTTTCCACCTTGTTTTATATAATTTGCTAGAATAAACCTCGAAGATTTCACTGCAGGTGTCTGAACTTGCCTCGACTTGTTCCGGCCTTGTGGCGATCGGCTGAGTTGAAGCACTCGAGGTGAAAAACGCGGTGACTAATATTTTGGCAGCACTTGTTAATCCATTATTTGAAAGCGATATGAAGTCCAATTTCTCATAGACTGATAAAGAGTAATACTTTGTTATGAATACAAAAAAGCTGACTTCTTCCACTTTTGTGACCAAGTTAATCATCTTTGATAATCATGCTAGACGTTAGGAAACACTAGAAAATGTGAAGGTAATGGTTTGTAGAGCTCATTGAGGTAATTTGGCATGCTGATTCGGAAATCATACCCAATTTACATAAAAGCTTCTTTGGTGACCTTACGGTATGTGTAAGGTAAGATGAAAACTTGAAATTTGGCTAAGACTTCGTAGTCAATAATCAGCATGCTATTCACGACAGTCATTCCTCTGGTGGAGTTGTAAAATTTACGGTTGAGCTCTTTTCCTTACTCGATCGTAGTATTTCCTCACTTTTTTGGACAAATTCGCCTCTTGATTACGACCCCCTCCTCTTGCTCTTACCCTCCCCCCCCCCCCCTATACGACCCCCCAGATCGGGCGCGCCTGACCCTACGCTCAACCCTGGTCATACCTTATGGTTTTAATCGTCAGCGATCTGGCAGTCTGCCAGATGTTCCAAATCCAACACTGGCCGACCGCAAATGCATAGTCTGTACAAATTTCGTAGATGGAGAATTGGCCTAACATGTGCACATTTATAGTGCGCCCACGTTAAGTTATGAACAATTGGAATATTGCCAAATCGCTTCGCAACAAATCGTCGTTTGAGGTATGGCCAATGCCTAACAGTTAGTCATAGAAATGGAGTTTTGCAGTTTCGCAATACGGCTGTTGTGCCAAGCACGCGGGGCGGGGTTTCCGTGAGGCGCGTGCTTGGCACTGTTTTGACCATTCGTCAGCTGAGGACCCTCCCACCCACCCGGAGTTGGGACTGCTGACGTCACGGGCAGAAGCCACATGATTAGGACTTTGAGATCCTTGCAGGAATGTCAACAATAGCGTCGGTGACGATTGGATAGCAGCGCTGTCGAGAAGAAATGGGCAAGTCGCGCTGAGCCGCTTTCCAGAAGATAAGTGATGCCGCCAGAGGACTCGTGATATTCCGAGAAACGCGTACACGCGTTATGGTAAAACGTTTTACGGACTTGTGCCGCTTTCATCCAGAGGGTTGAGCACTATTCTGTCGTTTACTAAGAGTGTAGTCCCTCGAAGGGCCGAATATTTTAGGTTTTAGATAACAGATCCGACTATGGATTGGCATCGCGTGGCAATGCGATATACAGACAAGACACAGGATCCCACGACGACCCCCTTTCAACAAGTTGATGCATCTGCAAGATGGGCAAATGGCGGCTTTGCATATGCACTCGTAGATGAAGCTTTTTATGTACTCCGACCATGACGTGTAGTCTATCACGCATACTTGTCACCACCGAACGCATTGATATGTTAGCGATACCCAGTCTTCCGGTAATCCCTGTGGTTACTGAAGGCAAATGATTGTTCGAGATGTTCCATAGGTTGGGGCGTTATCACAATGTTTTGACTTGTTACTGAAGATCTATGTTTGTTGGTTATGCAGTGGCATATGTATCAGTCCATGGCTTATTCGGGATGAGTCCCATCATTGTACGTAAAGCTGACGAATGAACCTTCACCTTAAAGTGCAAAACAGAGGTTTTGCCGTAGTTTATCGGAGGCAAAATTGATGTTTTCAAGACGGTGCGCCGCGAAAAAAGTGCGTTCAGGAACTTTGGGGCGAAGTAAAAGTCACTACCAATTTCACAAAGAAACTATTCAATAATGTTTTTTCAGTTCTATGAGTTCCCACAAGTGGGAATTTTGTTTCTTGCGTAAGAGAAAAATTGTCCTTTTCTGCTTTTCTGTTTTTCTGAGTTCAAGCTATGAATTCTCTGTGGTGCTGATCGATATCACCTCAACGCGAAGAGGTGCGAGGCTGCCGCCCACGCGGACCGCTGTTACAAATCCTATCCTACCTGTAATATCTGTATTATCAAGCATGACTGCGTGGTCTGTTGCAGATGTCCGCGTGGGACCACCTCCTTTCGCGACATGTAGTCCCACCAAACAGACTGTACAGTGGCGATTTGCATTAGGCAAGCGTTTCACCTGCGGCGCGTGCCCCGCACTGATGTCCAATCCGTGCAGTCAACGCCTCGACGATACTTAGGACCGTATGCACTAACATTTTTGCGGCGAGGGGAACGGCGTCCCCCGTTATGAAGGGACCGCGTGCGGACGCCGCTCCCCTCGCCGCAGGGATGTTAGTGCATGCGGCCCTTAGTATGTCACTCTCTCTACACGTGTCGCAAAATCTGTCTTCGGGGCTGGGGCTTGGGGAAGGGACAAAACGCATCGTAGCAGTGTAAAATCCCTCTCACCAACTTTTAAATTTTACTTCTGCCTTTGGTCATGTACAGTCTGCCCCAATCCCAACCAGGCCAAAATTGGCATGGCGGGAGTCCGCTTCGCTAGGGTTTCGCGGTCACGCCCACGACCTGCTTCTCTGCTCTCTCTTCAATCCTTCTGCTCTCTCCGACAGCGCGCATATGCAGCGCAGACCGCTAGCGCTGTGAGCGCGCAAATTTACACCGACGGTTTTGCCTGATTCCAATTGGAGCAGACTGTACAATCGATGTCAACCAAGTACTCCCTTTTCCGCAGCAGCTCGTATCCGCAACGCAAGGGCTTAGCGGGGGCCCCGATCGATGAGGCTAGTTTTGAATATGCAAGATAAACGCGCGCGAACGCGGCGCGAGGCTGTGGGGTTGCGAATTGGCTGGTGGAAAAGGGAGCGCAAATTTGAGACGGACTATATATGCCCCACTGCCACCACCCTAGTTTGCACCCGTATCGCTCCAGCACCGAAGAGGTTTGGCCCCAGGCTTACCTCACGAGATCTCAGCTGCGACGCAATTTGGCAATACTGCGACTGTTCATAACGCTCCCGAGCGCATCTTGAATGTAGTTGTAATGAACGGAAATTTTTATAGAATGAACGAATATCGAATAATTGAATTTTGAAAATTTTCGAACGAATGATATCGAATCATTTCGTTCCGAAAAATTTTCGAACGAGTGAATGTCGAATAATTAATTTTCGTAAAATTTGAATGAGCGAATATTATTCGATTTCCGATTTTCATACTATTCGAATTCGAATATTCGAATAAGGTCAGATGGGAAAATCGAACTTTCTAATATTCGAATGAACGAACTTGATCGAATATTCGACTATTCGAATAGATGGATATTCGAACACTCAAATGCAATATTCGACTATCCGAATGCAATATTTGAGTATTCGAATGCACTATTCGAATATCCGAACAACCGTTTTTCGAAACTTCTTGAATATTCGAACAGGTATGTTTTAGAATTCCTCGAATACTCGAATACTCGAGTAAGTAATTTTTATTTTCATTCGACTAATTCGTTCATTGGATTGGTCGAATGAACGAATTAGTCGAATACGGCCTTTTCCATCTACTCGACTATTCGAATAATCGAAGAAATGTACTTTTTTGAATAATCGACTATTCGAACATTCGAATAGTCGAATATTTCGAACAAATTATTCGAATACGAACATTCGGTTCCAACTATGATCTTGAATAAACAGAAGATGGGGCACTTTATCGATCTGCGGAAGTTATACATTATATGGATAGATATATGTAGTCTGCAGGTGTTCAATTTGAAGAGATCTGGCAGATTGCCAGATCGCGTGGCGACTGAAGTCGCGTGTCATGCGCCTGGTTTTAGACACAAATTTTGGGATTGTCACCTTCCACACCACATCTTTGTCTTTGGGACCGGCCATACTATTGCAGGAGGTGATTCCTGCGATCCCTGTAATTTCTGCAATTCCTTTGATTCTTCCTTGCAAATTTCAGTACACATTGTTTTTTTTTTCGCAATATACATTGTTGTGGGATCCGCAGGAAACACAGGAATCGCAGGAATTGCAGGAACCACACAAATAGTATGGCCGGTCCCTTTGCATCAGCGTACTACGTTTATTAAGCGTGAAGTTGCATGTTTGTGCATCCACTTCATACGTTTAGATTTACGGTAGGATAAGAGTGCCTTATGCCTATAATCCAGTCTAAATTGCATCGGTCTTGTATACAATACTAACGTTAATATGCTTTTTCACCCTTTTTTGAAACCCTCCTTCAAGGAAATTAATCGCGGTTAAATGTTTGCTTTGAATACTGGCTCACAAACAATACGTGATTACTGGTTTGTGTTAGTTTCCGCTCAAATAGTGAGCAAAAAAAATGTTAGATCTCACTCTTATATTTTTTTACTTTCCAGTCCTCTTTTCGATTGTGCTTGGTTTTGTTTTCTTCTAATGATCGACTCTATATACAGTACTTTATTGTGCCCAAGCCTTTCTACACATCTGCGGTCGGGACGTCGCATCAGCGCCATGCTCTCCTTCCTGAATCTCGCATCCCTCGCTGTGAGTTTTCAAGCACTGAGTTTTAACTGATCGTGCTGAGTGTGTGCAAATGCTTTAGAACTCTGGACCAGATTATCCAGACGAAAGGCACATTTGGAGGTCCAGATGGTTTGTAGATCAATTGCTCTATTAATTGTTAATAGCCAGAAGTGCTGGTGATCATAACCTGACAGTGGATTGGCCACTTCAAAACTCCGAAATTTCAATCTTATGAAGCTATATATTCCATATATTACCTCCACTCAAAATATGATGATTTACTGGACTCGATAAACAGAAATCTCTTTCAAGTATTATGCAGTACTGTTTGAGCAAAATCTTGCCTAAAAATCGACTTTTTCTAGATTTTGTACAACTCTCCACCGCTTTGCTTACGTTTGTTAATGCATCTGTCACAGTGTGCAGGATTTGTCAGATTATACTCTTGTAATCTTCCTTGCTGTAGTCATCTTGAAATGAAGTGCTTAGTGTTCAAAATGCAGAGGTGAAGGGAGGAGTATTCTCTGTCAGTTTCTCTCTATCAAATAACATTCCAGCTTTCACGTCGAGCTCACTTCGCGCAGAGATTGAAGTCGTCAATGTCCATTTCTATTTCGCCGTCAGTCTACCCATCACCACGACGTGACGACACAATTGTGGATGACTTCCATGGCACAAAGGTATTGCTTTATTTTGGAGTCTTTTGTTGGTAACTGATTTTGATTTGCAGGTTAGCGACCCTTATCGATGGATGGAAGACCCAGATTCTGTTGAAACTTGCAAGTTTGTCGACGAACTTAATGCCATCTCGGCGCCATTCATTGCTGAGGCACCCAGTCGAGAAAAAATTAGACAAAGGTATCATTTATTCACTGGGAGATTTGTTTGCCTTGAACACATTGTCCAAATAAGACTGGTACGGTTGCAAGTTTATGCTTGTTTTCTATATCATCTAGGATTATCTTCTACTCCAAGCCAGATTTAAACCGACCAGGGAAGAACAAGTTCGATCTTGTTCAGAAAATGTTTGCAAAGGGTACTTGAATTTCGTAGTCTTGAGACAGATGATAGGTGTTTCTGTAGAGCACTGCATATCGAGCCCATCAGGCGCATGCAGGTGCCGCTGAAAGCAATATGGCAAACTGTCGACTTTTTGATGCTCGCTCCGCAATGCTCAAAAGCGTGTTTTTCACTAAGGTTTGAAAGCATATGTGTAGATTCTTCATGTGAGATCTCTGCGTATTTCGGGTCTTGCTACTGTACCGCATCTATCTTTCAGCGCACGACTACAGTCACAGAGGCAATAGCCAGACTTCGCTTGAAAGCGCTCAAAACGCCTAATAGCGCCCAAACTTCTTTAATCTCTCTTCACTTTCATGTGTGAGGAGAGGTGAGAGGAAGTGAAGAGAGGTTAAAGAAATTTGGGCGCTTTTGGGCGCTTTTGAGCGAAGTCTGGCCGGGGCCTAAGTGAGGGTCATTTGCTACTTGTAAGAACTGTTTTTTTCTTTTTCAGGATACCTTTTCTTTTGTTTTTTTTTTCTTTCTGTTAGCTACAACTAAGAGATTGCAAAATGTATTGCTTTACAAAGAGACGGACTTGATATTTTTGATATGTATAATTTTTATCTCGTTCTGACTGAGAAGAACTATGATGCGCTTCTTTTGTGGACCTTTTTTCCCCGTCGGTCACGTCATTCGGATAAACATTGTGTTGTGGCACGATGAACGTTCACGCTTTCAAATGTGCTGCAAAAACATCTAGATTCTGGTAACAATCCATAAGAAGTGTCTATACGAAGAAAAAAATTTTTATATCAAACTTCTATACTACGTAGCAATCGAAAGTGAAAACTAAAAGGTAAGAAAGAAACAAGCAAACTTGTTTTATGTTCCCTTCCTTTTTATATGTGAGATGCCTTTTCACTCTACACTCATTTTACCGCTCAGATTGACTGAGTTATGGGATTACGAGAAGTACGGCTGCACATCAAAACGTGGGGACTTTTACTACTACAGTTACAACTCCGGGCTACAAAACCAGTAGTAAGCACAATTGTCAAAAAAGAACGCTGTACCGTAGTTGCTAGTGCCACCTTCAGCGTTATATACCAACAGCGAAGTCTAAAGGACAAAGGAGAGATATTCCTTGATCCCAACACTCTTGCAGAGGATGGAACCACGTCTATCAGGTAGAAATTTTGACTCGGTTTGAGAACGTCTTCTTTTGTTGTAGAATATCAGCTTTCACCAAGGATGGTTCAATCTACGCTTATGGTCTAAGTGAGAAAGGAAGTGACTGGGTGACTGTAAAGGTAGGTATCGCTATCATATGGCAATGTAGCTGAGCTTTATTTATTTTCTGTTAGTCTCATATGAACCGGCCAGTAACCTGTTTTCAGTTTCGTCGTGCTGATAAGCAGGACATGAAGGATGTCATAACTGGAGTGAAGCACTCGTCCCTTTCTTGGTTGAAGGATAATTCTGGAATATTTTACTGCAAGTATCCTGAACATAAGGTTGTTTCATCACCCAGCGGTCTTTCGGCACATTTTCTTCTTTTTTTTTGGACCGCTACGGAGGGCACATCAGTCGAAAAACATCGCTATCATTCCCTATATTTCCACCGCATGGGAACTGAATGCAGGGATGATGTACTGGTTTACGATCGAAGAGAAAATCCAGATTACATGGTGTCAGTTCCTGTCAGGTACATCCTTCAAATTCTAAAAGTGCACTCGTTATAGGGGAGGTACTGTAACAGAAGATGGAAAGTATCTCATTATCGATGTATCACGTGGGTGTGACCCGTATAATATGCTGTACTACTACGATTTGACAGCTGTAAATGGTACGATTGGAAAGATTGCTCCTACTCCCCTTTTTGAGAAGTTGGATGCCAAGTACGATGTACGATATATTCCACTCTTGTTGTCACAGAAGTGCTTTTTCTGAAGCTAATAAGCTTATTTTGATTTTATCGTTATAGTATGTGGATCACGATGAGGAAACCATGCTTGTACTTACGAATCAGGATGCGCCTATGTTCAAGCTCATTCGCGTTTCTCTGAAGGATGGATCAGTCAAAGAAGTTGTACCAGAAAATCCTCGTCATAAATTAAACTGGGCTGCCGTTGTGGCCGAGGATCGTCTTGTTGTGAACTACATCGAAGACGTCAAGGTAAAGATAACCAATGCCTAAAATTTTTGACTTTTATTGGAAACATATAACGGTTCATGCATTTTAAATGAATCTCTCTTTTAGGACGCATTATACGTGCACGATCTACGTACAGGTTCTAGGTTGTATCAATTTCCGTTGAAAATAGGGTGAGTTAGTTTACTTTTTCGTTTTAAACTAACTTATGTCGTTTCAGATCTATATCAGGATTTTTCGGGAAAAAGTCACTTTCTGAAATGTTCCTTGGTTTTGAATCTTTCACCGTTCCTACCATCGTTTACCGTATCGATTTCTCATCCACAAGTGGAAAGGTGATGCCAGTGGTGGAGGTATGCGAGGTTTATGGTCTGCTGAATTGTTGTGTAGTTGTATGCTTTGAGGAGTTGAGACGAGTGGATATCAAAGAGATGGATGAAAGTCAATTTTCTGTGGAGCAGGTTTTTTTCAAAAGCAAGGACAACACAAAAGTTCCCATGTATATTATATCACTGAAGGGTACCACACGAGATGGTGGTAATCCCACCATACTGAACGGCTACGGAGGTCGCGGTTTTCTTTTTTATCTTATAAATAATCATTAAGAGTTCTCCAGGATTCAACATTGCTGATATGCCATACTTTTCAATTAGCCGCCTGCTTGTTGTTAAACATTTTAAAGGGATTGTTGCTTGTGCCAATCTTCGTGGAGGAAGGTGGGTTTGAGCTTTTTTTGTCTTTTAGAAATTTTGTCATTTTTATAGTGAATACGGAGAAGACTGGCACATGAGTGGAATGAAAGAAAAGAAGCAAAACGTGTTCGATGATTTCATTGCTGCTGCTGAATATCTTATTCATGAAAAATACACATGTACCAAAAAGTATCCAGCTTGAACTTTTTAAATACAAAGTTCCGATGAAATTTTAGATTGGCAATCCATGGTGGTTCGAATGGAGGTTTACTAGTAGCAGCATGTTCACAACAGCGTCCTGATCTATATGGTGCAGTGCTGAATCGTGTTGGGTTCGTCTTTCTGATGAAACTATGGAATTCTCACAAGTTGTTCTTTGAGGCAAAAGTACGCTAATGATGTTCTTTCAGCGTGATGGATATGCTACGATTTCACAGATTCACTGTAGGCGGTGCATGGGTACCGGAATATGGCAATCCTGACGAGGAGAAAGATTTCAGTTACATTTACAAGTCAGTTTGCTTTGCATCCATGATTTGATTAGATTCGTGCCTTAAGATACTCTCCTCTTCATAATATCAAATTTCCCTCAAACGGCCAGTGGCCTTCTACTCTCATGATGACCGCAGACCACGATGACCGAGTGGTCCCTAGCCATACTCTCAAGTATGCAGCAACATTGATGGAAAAGGCACGTCGTTTATTGAGATCTTGTAATAAGGCAGTCGAGAGATGGCATATTTAGGCCAAATTACATCCCCTCCAAACAAATCCCATCCTTGTTCGCGTGGAAGTAAAAGCTGGGCATGGTGCTGGAAAGCCAACCTCCAAAGTGGTTGGTTATTTTTCAAAAATCTGAGGAAGCTTTGGTTGTGAATACTCGAAATTTAGATCGCCGAGATTGTTGATATGTACAGCTTCTTGCAAAGAGTGCTTGACATGAAGTGGTTCGAGTAGGTTGCTGCTCCCTTTATGCTGTTATACGGTCAGATCTGCAGTGGTAATGACGTGATGTGCTATGATTTCTCTGTTCTGGCAGTCGATTTGCATTTATATTTGTTTTTGTTATGCACTGAGAATACTTTGGGGTTATCGACATGATTGTTCAGGTCTTTATTTTTCACTTGTGGATGTCAATTGTTCTCTATACATTCTCGAGATAGGTTTGTTATTGTTGAGTTTTTTCCCTATCTACACATCCACACACACTCCCAACATTCGGGCCAGTATCAGATCCCATAATTGAGGTTTTGCTCTATTCCTAACGTGAGCTATCATTGCGCCCTGTGCCTGTCCACGAATTGTCTGAATAAAGATAATCAAAAGTAAGCCATGATTAAGAGCTGCTTTCTGATTCGCGTACATATAGCGTTAGGCCTCGGGCATACCTCACGCGATTTCAGTCACGACGCGATTTGTCATTACTCCAAATGTTCATAACTCATCGTACGGAGTTTTTGAATGTACGGAAGATGGGGCATTTTATCAACCTACGAAAGTTATACATGCTGTACATTTGAGGTCCACCAGTATCGAATTTTTGAAGACATCTGGCAAATTGCCAGATCGCGTGGCGACTGAAATCGGTGAGGTATGTCCCTTGCCTTACGCTGTAAAAGCGAGCAGTGGACAAAGAGTGTTGTTCTCGGACATCTGTCACCTTAAATGTCTTGCCTGTTGGGAATTATTTGGCTGCTATGGCTTTCACTGAAATACAGTCTGTATCAACCCAGCGTAGGCAAATCCATGAAACGATGCGTCATCTTCATCAGTGTCCTCGCGAGCCGTTGCTGGCATTTTGCTACGCAATGATAAAAGAGCAATACGTGGGTGTATGTCAAGAGCGCGATTTTTATTGCCAGTTTAGACCCAAATAGCACACATTTTTGATATTCATGGTTAACCTTTCACAATCTTTACAGTTGTATGTATTAGAGAATTACAGATATACCGTCTATGATGCGCACCAAGATTATTGATGTAAGTTTGGCACTTTTGGATGTTAAATGCCCACAAGCACAAGAAATTTCCTATAATGCAGCCAAGAACCATGCTAGCGCGACAACATTTCTAATTGTGTCCACCAAACAATATCTGCAGACATTACCACATTTGAAGTACAGGCGTGGTTCAAAAATCATGAGGTTTCTCTACTGTACAGTTGGAACTGTGGTTGAACAGCAATGAAAAATGTCAAACATAGGAGCGAAGAAGATGTTCAACGATTACAAAGTACCCTAATTTCACGAGTAAAGGACGCACCTTCTTCCTAAATATGACCAGCCTGTACACGTAAAACATTCGCGATCAAAGGACCCCATACAGTACTGCGTATTGCCTGAGAGTATCGGACGGGATAAGTTTCGTTTTCCGAAACAAACGAACGACTGAGTAGCTCGCTCAAAAAATCGAAAGAGTGCGTCTTGTACTCGTGTTAGGGTAAAAGAACTACTGCAGACAGTAGGATGTAGAAGAAGATATCAAAAATGGTACTAAAGCAAACCCGCGATAGAATTACACTAACGTATTCTCTACAACGCAATGACAATACTGGGTTATGATATATGTAAAGATGCGTCACAAAGGGTAGGGGTTAACTTATCATTGCGACACGCTCATTTCGGCTGTCGGTCGTGGAGTCGATACTGGAGAACTGGCGAGCATGCTGCCTCGACGAACCATCTCTTCCAGCCGTCGCCTAGCTCTCTGCTCTCGATCTAGAGCTCGATTAACAGCTGCCAACTCTTGGCGTAAGCCGATAAGTTGATCCTTCAATGCGTATACTGTATCGACCAAACTCCTGGAAAAAAGCATCTTTACCATGGAGTTGAAATAAATAGTATGTTGCATAGTTAACGCACAAATCTCGGTTGATTCCTCTGCACTCGCAACCAGGGTTAGGCAAGAGATGTGGCGTGCCACACGCGGGGACCATATTGAGCGTCAGATTGGGAAGGGGGTCGTAATCGAAGTGATTAGCGATAACAAGATCCGTTAACAATGTCAGTTGAGCCCATTATTATGCAAAACACAGGCTCAAGTACCAGTGAGATATTCACCTATCCTCGTATACACCGTAAGCAGTATAGAGAAGCCATACGAAGCTTAATGAGTATTATTTCCGTAATTAGCATGTCAAATAACCCAGTAGACCAAGTTTTATCGAATGCTGAGGTTCCTGGATTTTGGAACACTCAGTTAAATGGCCATTTTCGGACATGACTGACTTTGTTTTGAAAGCGAGTTAGCTATGCTTTTCTGCACTCAATACAAAACACCTTTGTGCATATAAGAGAGATCCCACTACAAATAACCGCAAAGTAGGAAATTAGGAGCCAGCCAAAACCTGTTTGTCTCATTTTCGCTTTCGATGGTTGTGCTTTCAACAATTATTGCTCAGATTCAAACCATAGGTGCGATAGTGTGAGAATTTGCTCACCCCCTCTTCACCCCTGAACCGTGACCAAGGTGACCCCCTTCACCGAAAGGCGAGAAAAAATCAATAGTAAGATTAAGCAAAGGAGATATTCGTACGGGAATTGTTTGTGTATAGGAAAAGAGGAAGAAGATTTATAGGCATTCACGTACTTCGAGGAGGAAAAAAATAGTAGCTTCTGTAGCTGCACAGCGACTTCAGCGAGGAAAGTTCCGTGGTACAACGTTCCCCTCTGCTTTCAAAGAATAAGTAGTTTACCTAGAGTCCGTTCACAGAAGTACCTATCAAAAGGTGTGCCTAGTGATTTCTGAACACTTACGAGTTTTTAACATAGAAAAAACTCATAAATTTTGTAGATGAATAGCTAATACAAGGAAATGGTGACCATGAAACTCGTCCTCCGTTTTCAGAAAATATATAGCATGTCTGAGATCCGTCTAAAAAAGTGCTGGGTGAAGGGTGGGTGAGACTCTTCTAATGGGAGTTCTCAAGTAGACGTCTTTTTACAATGGTAGAAAATATGTACACTGCCTGGGGTTTTTTTAACGGACCCCAGGCAGTGTACATATTTTCTGAAAGCGGAGGACGAGCGTTCCGACGATGACTATTTCCTTGTACAATTTGTTCATCTACAGAAGTTACGGATGTTTTTATCCACAAAAAAAACTCGTAAATATTCAAAAATTATTACCCACACCCTTCACTAGGCACTTTTTCCAACAGACTCCAGGCAAACTATATTATCCGAAAAGGAGGACAAGACGGTTTCACTGTGACTATCGCGGCGTACAAGATATTTATCTATAGGAGTTATGGATTTTTTTATCTAAAAGTTTGTGAATATCTTAGCTTACTACCCATGTGCTTCAAAAGGCACTTCTTTGAAAGGACCCCAAGACAAGCTATATGAAAAGCGGAAGGAAAGGTGGTTTTGGAAACTATTTTCTTGCTGACTCGCTGTTATTCTACAGACGCAGTTTTTTCAATACAATATTTGCAAATACTCAAAAATTGTCTAACTCTTGAAACGGATATTCTCGCACACATCTTTTATGGTATTTTCAAAAACTGACAGGGTAGTTTCCTATTTCAATCTTCACATTTAGAGAAGAAGACAACCATTGGTGACAGAACTGAAAATGGTGAACGTTGATTAGAAAAAATGAGAGAACACCATCACTCCATTCCTCTCTCTCTTCCCCCCCCCCCCCTCGGTCGACATTTTGTTATTTCTCTACCAAGTGAAACACTCTTCACCAAAGGGGCTGCCATGGCTGTGACCCCCTTCACCCCGTCACGGTGACGTCACAAGAAGGCGAATAGGACCCTCCCTCGGGGCTCGCAAATCTCCGCTCCGGGGGTGCGCCAGATTTGGGAGAGCCCCGGAGCACCAAAATGGATGAAATGGCAGGGCTTCGGAGCGCTCCAGAGCGCGAAGTGGCAGACCCCCGCCATTTGCCCTCCGGAGGTATCCCCTCGACTGTCTGAATTAGTGATAGTTGCTGAAAGCAGAACTCCTAAAAGCGAAAAATGAGCTGAGCAAGAATTTGACTAATTTGACAGAATTTCAATTCCATTGTTCGGAGGTTAATCAAAGTGTGGTCTCTAGCGTGTACTAATAAGAAGTAGTGATTTGTATCAAGTGCAAAAAAGAATAGGAAACTCCTCCAAAATAAAGTCAATCATGTTGAAGGTGACCATTTTTGCTAGGTAGCGCAGTATGAAACTTCAAGAATAGGTTTGGTCCACGGCGGTTATTTGTCAAGCAGATTACGAAAGGACATTCATTATGCTTATAGGACCTCTTTCTCATGCTTGCGGTAGGAACGGTATTTTGGAGGGGCCTTTTTGAGATCAAATGAAGGGAGGGGGGTCATTCGTTGGTCTTGTGTTCACACACCTTTTGCTCGACCCTGTCCGCAACCTAGCAATGCTGAGTCAGGGCCCGACACGAGGTGGCTTTTCGAAAATGCAAAAATGAGCCCCTTGACTTTCCCAAAATTTTACGAAGTCAACGTAAAAACAAACCGACGTGGATAAAGAACATATTCGGGCATAAAAACGACATCCCCTTCGCTTTTTGTGCCTAAAACGATACTTAGCTTGCTTATAATCCACCTGTGCTGAGCACTGCGCTGAGTTCAAATCGGTTTCACTCTAAAGCAGTGGAAGATGCCCTTTTTGGACGTCTTTCACGCACGTTCATGAACGTAATCGCGTCAGCATAGTCTATATGTCAGTGCCAGTACCTTTTTCACAGTAGCAATGCAAGGTGGATCAGATTTTCGATCTGATTGTGAGTAGTGTTTTCTACTCATCGACAACTTGTTCCTAGAAGGCAGTATCAGGCAGATCTGAGTGTGTTCCGATAGAATCGGCACCTCTTTCACCTCTTCTAATAATTACCATGAGGATCATGCATAAGCATGACTTGCTGTGATATGGGCACCCTTATTGCCCAAATATGTAAATTTACTTCGCCACGCCTACAACCGAAAGCATTGTACTACCGCACTAATACGTGCACGCCATCTGTTCTTGAATCTACAGCACATGTGCTTTGTATAACACAGGAGCCAAATATCCCAATCAGGCACTATTTCGCCTCAGGCCACAGTACGGCCCGGGAACCACGGAAACAGACTGAGACTTTTGCTTTGATAAGTTGTAGTGTGTCCAAACGTTGCCCATAATCTGTTGTGATCATAGCGAGATATCTGTCTTCAACAAATCACTCGGTCCTCCGTGACTAGCTTCCATCAAGTCAGTGATTTACAGATTATTGCAGAATCTGCAAAATCTGATTTGAATAGAATTCTTTCGATCTGTTAAAACGCGGACTTGACTTAGGTTACCGAGTAACAAGTCTGCGTCTAGACGAAGGGAAGATTGATCATCAAAGGAATACTAACGAGGGAAGGATCCCAGGTCGCTGTAGCGATTTGAAACAAAATGCATTAGAGATGCGCCTTGGTGAGCTGATTCCAAATCCAACTTCCTTAACACGTTTCGGACCGCGAAATCGCGCGCGGCGAAAAAGAGGGTACTTTCAGCCGTTAGCCAACAAAGGGACCTCAATTCGTATACTGTGTGCTACATATATAATCAGCATGTCAGATATGATTCATACCCAGAGTTCTGAGTGAATTCGAAGTCTTTGAATTTTGTCGCCTGAGAAGGACTTCTGTGCTTTCCTGAAAGATAGGAAGAACTCAGTTTCTAAATGTATCCAAAAGTATCTTTGTTGTACACGATATACATCATTATAGGAACTACGGTTTTTCTCTTTGGGTGGGGGAACGAAAGCCGCCAGCCAGCTTCGGTCGCCTGCGCGGACTGCTGGTCCTGGGACGACATGCAACAACGTTGCGAAAGGACCAGTTAGCCGCGAAAGGCGGCTCAAACTGGCGGCTTTCGTTCCACTACCCTTTCTCTTTGAATTCGAAGCAAAGGAAAGTTGCGACGTCGCACGCGTCGTTCGCGTTGCCGCACTTCGTTGCAACTGTTGTTCGAATTGTCTTGATATCTTCTAAACAAATATCGGCGGCACAGCCTTACAGAGTACTTGAAAAGGAGGAGCTTAGGCCTTTGATTTGATAACCTTGGACAAACAGAAAAGCTCCTGCAAACACTGAAAAGATCCTTGGAAGGCGTAGAAGGCCTGAAGGCGACAAAAACATTGAATTCGAGATTTTGGGTGAACGGTGCCTTTAACTGCTGCGCTGTTTTCTGGAAGAAGGTACAGGGCTTATCAACTGTCAAATGCACCAGCTCTCCACTCCTGCGCGGCCGCCTCGCCTGGATTCTGCGCTTCTTTCGCCAACATGCTCTCTCACCACTTTCCTTCAGCGAGCTGGAAAAGGCGGAGCTTCGATCGATCAAATGATTAGAGAGCATGCTCGCGAAAAAGGTGCAGCGTTCCACGCGGAAGCGGAGATGCTGATGCACCCGACACTAGTGATAAACCGTTTACAGTTTAAAGGTTTGATTTTGGCAAACATTCAATGCCACAATTTCAAGTAGTTGTTCGAAAACACTTATCTCTGTTGCCGTTGTATGTGAGCGTTCCTTTTAGACGGTACACTCAACAACAAGCTGATTATGCACTCCCAAGGTGCTTTTTAAAGGCAGTACATCGGCAGAATGAGACCCGTGACAAAACAAGGTCATAGGGTAGGGGCCCCCATATGGAACCTATCGGGCCAAAGTTCGATCTTTCTCTGCCGCTTCCAACCCCCGAAGTTTCGAGGCGAAAGCAGCGTTCATCTCCTGTCCTCTCCGAACCCGCCCACCCCATGGACGAGTGACTTCCACGGTCAGAGCGCGCAGCCGCAATGCTATAAGCATGAGGTCCGCAACGACTCTGCGTCTTCGCCACGACGGGGCTTCGCTCGTCCATGGGGTGGGCGGGTTCGGAAAGGACAGGAGATGAGTGCTGCTTTCGCTTTGAAATTTCGGGGGTTAGAAGTGGCAGAGAAAGATCGGACTTTGGCCGATAGGTTCCATATGGAGGCCCCTACCCTGTGACCTTGTTTTGTCACGGGTCTCATTCTGCCGATGTACTGCGTTTAAAGTGCATTGTGCATGAGAACCGTAATAACCACACCTGTTAAATCTAATGATATGCTTCGTTCCAGATCGCCACAGCGACATGGGACCCTTCCCCTGTAAGTCAGATATTACATAAAAATATGATATTTCTAAGCTCACATTTGCACATCGCAAGCACGATATTCTCATGAGAAAATTGCACGTATGTTTATCAAGAGACTTCAGGTCGACATGGAAGGCAGCTTTGGAGTCGCCATTCGAAATCTGCTTACTAAGGCCCGTATGCACGTACATCCCCGCTGGGAAGGGGAGCGGATCTGAGAAGGGATGCGTCATATCTTGCTACTCTAATAAGGGAGGTTCGCTTATTCGAAATGGCGATTCGGAAGGAGATCTATACCAGTGGATAGAGCTCAAAAAGCTGATTTCAGATATACCTTCTATCCCTGCGATGCATCGTTCTGAAAAAAGCTATGAGCTTTTTAAAGCCAAATTTTCGTGCATTTTGAATCCCAAAATCGTAATAATCGCTACACAAAAGTGTGCAAGCTTAAGCAAACCACCTAATAAGCATTTTAGATCTATTTCGAGCTCATCCGAACGCATTCGAGTGTTTTTAGACCATGTTGTTCATCCACAGGTCGTCATTTCATTCGTAGATCACACTTCCATTATGTATACGAAAGAGCCCCAAAGCTCAATCTAGAAAAACGCGTTGCGTCGGAAACTTTTTGGAAACCTACCAATGAATAGAACAAAAAACGATGTTCTCAGATATATATCTTCAATATCTGCGACGCGTTCTTCGAGATGAGGTTATGGCTTTTTTGTATATATAACGGAAGTGTGATATGGGAAGGAAATGACGGCCTGTGAATAAACAGCATGGTCGGAAAACACTCGAAAAATTCGGATGAACTCGAATTAAACCTACATGCTTACTAAATGGTTTGCTTAAGCTTGCACATTTTTGTGTAGCGAGTATTATGATTTTGCGAGTCAAAATGCACGAAAATTTGGCTTTATAAAAGCTCATAACTTTTTTCAGAACAATGCATCGCAGATATAGAAGCTATATCTGAGATCAGCTTTTTAAGCTCTATCTACAGGTGTAGATCTCCTTCCGATTCGCCACTTCGACTAAGTGAACTTCCCTTGTAAGTATCTTTCTTCTTCTTTCTCCATCTAGCTTAAGAAGTTCTTCATACACTTATACCTGCGCATAGTGGATGCCAGGTTACTTCCACGCAAGATTGGTTTTTTGCCATTTTATGTGATCCACAGGGGATCCCCTGGAAATCACCTCTCATTTTCAGTCATTTATATTCCTGAGAAGTCAATGAAAAGCTGTAAAATTGTACTGAGAATATACTACGCCACTGCTAAACAAATTTTCGACAGAAGAAATGGAATCTGAAAATTGTGAATTTTTCGATGATCCCTGTCTCGCGAGCTAGGGACTACCGAAGATTTCGACATCCTGAGATTTCGCTTATTTCTGCTATAATCATCTTTAGCAGCGCCGTAGTATATCTACAGCACTATTTTACAGCGTTTCATTGAGTTTTCAAGGAGATAAATGGCACTGAAATTGAGAGGTGGTCCGCTGGGGATCCCCTGGGCTCCACAGGGAATCACACAAATAGTGAAAATCTAATCAATTATGCCAGTAACCTGGCATCAATTACGCGCAGGTATTGGGTATGAGAACCTTCATAAGCAAGTTAGAAATGGAAGAAGAACATACTTAGAGTAGCGAGATATGATGCATCCCCTCCAGATAACCTGCCCTCCCCAGCGGGGATGTACGTGCATACGGGCCTAAGTGGCCACTGCAAAGGCCGCATGTGCGTGATACTCCGCATCCACCAGCTCTTTCAGAACGAACACTTCACTGTTGCACAAACTCTTGTAAGGCTCATAGTGAAAGACATGCGCGATACGTATAGGCCGTCCGTTCCCACTCTCCGTGCGCCCTGCGCGGAGAGTGCGCAAGGTGTGTACTGCGCGTCACTCGTCTTTCCCCGTGCACTCTCGCCGCCTGTTTCCTCTGCGCTTCTTCCAGTCATGAACTATCTTCAGTGGAAGCAACAGCGTTGCTCTCCGTGCGCAGCGAGGACGGCCTATACAAGGGAACACCACAAATGCATCGGAGTCAAACTAGTTTTCTTTTCTGCAAATACGGAAACGTTTGACTAGATAGCAGGATACCGGCAAATATGAAAAGGTTTGACTAGATAGCAAGATATCGATAAACATATTGAACATACCTACTCCTGAGCTCCAGATGCTTAAAGGTAGCGTCCGAACAACTTCGAATAAAATTTTTTCGCTTACCTGAGACGGTATGTATCAATCTTCGGGTAAGTGTACCCGTGCAGGCCGTACAGACAGAGCGCCCAGGCCCATGATATGCGAACGTAGGCGTCTGACGTGCAAGAGCTCGACCAGGCAGAATCGGGCAGGTCTGCAACGCCTGGCCAACTACGATCTCGCTCGAGTATAAATTGTGCGAAATAGCGCCTCCCTTTGATTAGGTGGCCGAGAAGGTCAGTAAATCAAACGACGTTAGTCGACTGCTACAAGGATTGCACAACGAGATGCAGCTATTCCATCGCTCCCTGACCATCCCAGATGGGAAGGGGTCCGACAAGGCGACACAATCTCGCCGAAGCTGTTCACCGCGGCTTTGCAGTGGGTGATGAAATCACTGGACTGGGATGAGAGAGGCAAACGTGTTGATGGGAGATTTCTGTCGACCCTTCGTTTTGCGGACGACATCGTTCTCTTCTCAAGCAGTATCACTGAAGCAGAGACGATGCTGAAGGAACTAAACGAAGTAGGGAAGTAGATGGGAGTGCAAGGTGCAGTGCACTCTGTTACGCAGCTGAGAATTGGGCCGATACTGTAGCCATGTCGAAGGCTTTACGGACCACCCACAGAGCGCATGAGCGCAGTCTTCTAGAGATGAGCCGACACAAACAACGTCTTGTCGGACCTCGCAGTATGGATTTGAAAGAAATATCACGTCTTTGTGACCCATCGGTATACGTTGCGAAAAACACAGATGGGCCGGTGAAATCATGAGAAGAACAGACCACAGATTCACACCAAAAATATCGGAGTGGGTTCCTGGCGAAAGCGAAACGTCCCCAGACAAGACCTTAAGCGAGATGGGCATACGTGAACGGATGGACCAGCTGAGATATAGCTGGATATGATTTTCGCCCCTGGAACTCGTGGACGCAGCCGCCGACGACAACCAAAGAGATTGGACGTCCGAAGCAAGGGACAGGGATTAATGGAAATTTTTGTACTGCGCCCGCGTCGCGTGAAGATGGGCCATCTAAGTATCTAACAATAAGTAAGTACGGAAGTTTTCTTTGCTACCCTGATGAGTTAAAGTAATTTCGTTTTGATTTTTCTGGCTAGAATCTTCTGCACTTACAGGGCTTATCAAACGCAGTGTCGCTTGCATCAGCATCTCCACTCGCGCGTTGGACTCTGCACCTCTTCCGCGAGCATGCTCTCTGATCACTTTCCCAGGGCGAGCGTGGGAAAGGCGGAGCCTCAATCGATTGGAAGTGATTAGAGAGCACGATCGCATAGGAGACGCAGAGTCCACCGCGGGAGTGGAGATGCTGATGCAAGCGACACTGCGTTTGGTAAGCCCTACAGATTTTTTGTCACTAGACGCAGTTCTTGTACAGAGGGTTGTTCTCGATTGCATTTGTGTAGCTCCCGCCATATCATAATGTTTTAAGGGGACTCGCTTCCAACGTGCTCGAAATCAACACATGCGGGCCCTGGTTACGTACTTAAACAGTGTCAGGAAAGCAACGTACTTCTCTTGTATAACTATTTCATCTCCAACCATTTCCTCCACTAGTATCTTCTCATCTTCAGCCACAATGAGTTGCGGTGGTCTGCAGTCCGCAATACCTGGAGGTGCACGTACTGCCCCACTACAATAAGCTTCAATAATGCGCAGAAGGTGAGCGTCATGCTGTTCGCCAATGCTTGCTGAACAAGCGTGATTACTAACGACCATCTGAAATCGTAAAAGCAAAAATACCTTCTTTTCTCAACTTCACACTCTTTTTCGCACTTGATGATGGTAAAACGGTTCGATGAGGAGGGTCAACGCGCAAGCACAACTTCTTGCTAATGTCTGAAAGAGATGGGGAATGAAGTGATGATGAATAGACTTGCGAAATTGCTCAAAAAAGAGTACCATTAAGAGAGCGATGGTTATGGGCATTGATATCAGGATCATCAATCTCATCTGGTAAAATCATTTCTAGCTCATGATTCAAGCGCAAATCATTGTGTCCTATGCTAAATAAAAAAGTGTTGAGAAATCAAAAGTCGAAAACGATATCTTACGACGGTTTCCTTCCAACTACTGCTCGCTCGGCAGATGGCATGTCAGATACATCTGCCATTCGTGAAGGAGACAGCATATGCTTTAAAGTCGACATCAAAATGGAAAAGAGCGATACGTTGTGCACACTTACCATGTTATTGACAGCGTAAGATTGTGGCACGGGTGGGGATGACATAACAAACGATTCCTCAATTACTATACCTTCGCATCGCGCAAAAGCCTCTAGCCAACGCTCAGTATCAAACCAAGACGAGATCTGGATTTCCATATCACCTTAAGTGAAAGAAAAAGAAAGCTCTGGATGTACAGACAAATACAAAATGCTAGGGTCTTGAGGTTACCTCGCGCGATTTCGCCAGATCGCGCCGCCACACACCTTGCGCAGATTTCATGCACAAGCATATGGCGGATCGAGAAGGTGTCGGGAGGGAAAGGGGGGGGGGGGGGAGATTAAGAGTTTTTCGGAAGTGGTCCACATGACTTTGTAAATGTGCAAGTGTCTTGTTCTTACTTGTGAAAGTGTGAGAAAAATTTGAGATTTTGATCAAAATAACCATTAAGAAGATTTCAAGTGCAGCCTTTTACTCGAATATGGTAAGCTTTCTACACGCCACGCCCCTTCGGTCTGAAAACATTACTGTCACCTCCACTTAAAAAAATTTTTGTGAACGCCACGGCGCAGCTTCCATAGGTATGAAAGCATGTTTGCTACGCGCGATGTATGATCGTAGAAAAACCGAATAGCGTGACTACGAATTGCGCGAGGTATGCCATTGCCTTTGGCGCGGTTTGGCATTGCCGAACTTCCTGATTCATCGCCGCACTTTTTATAAACAAGATTTGCCATATCTATACAAGTTTACGGAGCTAAGCGCCTCCTGTATGAAATTTGCATATGCCGAATTTGTAGACATGGTACCAAATCGCGTAGCAGGGGGGATCTTCGAGACACGACCATTGCCTTAGGCCTCGTTCAGTGTTCACGCAATTTCACTGCCTTGCGATTCTCTAACAAGGAACAATTACGAGTCCATTGCATGCCGATCATCTTGCATTTCGAGTGGTAGTTTTCCGACACGAATAATCGTGGCTAACTATCACAACCGAAATGCAATATAATCGGCATGCAATGGACTCGTGACTGTTGTTTTGTTTGAAGAATCGCGAGGCGAGGAAATCGCATGAACTCTGCCCGAAACCTTAGGAAAACGCTTTCTAAGTGGCAACTCTGGCAACAGTGGGCGACAACCAGTGGCGTACCGAGAGGGGGGGGGGCGAGGGGCCCCCCCCCCCCCGAGAATGGGTCGCGAAATTTTTGAAAGTTACTCAAATGTGTTATAAAAATGTGCAAAGCACTTGTCTTTACTTGTAAATAATTAAAATAATTTTCAAAAATACAAATTAGCCCACCCCAAAAATTTTTCGGAATGCGTAGCTAACGCCACGCACCTTCATTAGAAAATTTTTTTTGTCGTCCCCCCCCCCCCCCCCGAGCCGAAATCCTGGGTACGCCACTGGCGGCAACGTATAGCCGAATAAGGCACTCGGCATAAGTCATAAGTGCAAATAACGTGGGACTTCATAGATAGGATTGGAGGAAGATTTTGAGCATAAAAAGGGAACAATTACATGTATGATACAAATGACTTGCCACAGAAATCAAACTGAGTACGCAAATGATACAAAAACCTCATCTTGCGCAATGAAATGCAAGACTCTCAACTCACCAACCACTAATCCACTGCGATTCTCCATAACTCGGACTCGCAAATTGTTTGTTGGCACCTTCCTGAGTAGTTTATACGAGTTTACATCCATGGTGATCTCCAGCACAATCAGCAGTTTCGAAAACAAGGCAAAACATCTAAAAACACAATGCTCAACACGACATCTGGTATCAATTATAAAACTTTGCAACAATGAACCACACGGCTAGAAATGACATATACCGGTCATCGCATGCTCCATCATAGATGACTGGTGCGACACCAACATAAAGAATACGACCCCGCTGCTCGAAAGATGCCCATCCCTCGACCTGACCGGTGTACAGAAGCTCGAGTTGAAGTTCTTTTTGTTTACGAACAGCTTCACATAGTAACTGAAAGAAAGCCCTAGAATGTTCAAATTAGCAAACAAAGGTTCGTAACCACACCTTCATTTCTTTGAACACTGCACAAGATCGCTGAACATCACCACGATCAGCGTGCCCCTCCTGAACAAAAGAAGAATACAATTTTCTGCGAACTCAGACTATGACAAGTCTAGTGCAGCCTTGGATCTGAAGGCAGTGTCCTGATAACTAAAGCTTCGAAGCACCAGTGTGATAGACAACGAGATCCTTTGAGACATATCCCTTTCGGAAAGGCTCGTTCAGGTATTCTCACCGTTCGATAGCGGGTTTCTAAGTCAGTATAAAAGAGCCTCCATGCCAGCCGAAAAGCTTTTGGCTAATAGGTGTGAAAATGTATATATAAGCACTCTAACTATTTTTCCAATCATTCTTTGCCTTTGTACATGTTCACACTCTCGAAGATGCGAGCGATCTCCACGGCAGTCTTGGCCTAACAATAAGCCCGATGGAGCTCACACCCTCATCCATGATCATGGCTGAGTAACTTCTGTCTGGCCTCGAGACTTTCTGATCCGCATAAGGAAAGCGATGGTTATACAGGGTGTCCCAAAAAAATGTGCCTACTGTTTAATTGTTAATGACTCTTTTGTAAAAAAGTCTTTTGAGAAGCTTTGAGTACCATTTTGTAGAGCTAGATTCTACTTAGATTTACAGTATAGAGCGAATCACCAATCACTCATCATTACTGTAGGATTACGGTAGAAACTTCAAGTATATGGTGCTATTGTGAAAAAAGCTGCACTTTCAAAAAATTCCGAAAAATGTGAAAACTTGTGTAATAGGGTTTTCATAAGCGCTGAGTTTGATACTCAACTATGTAGAAGTTTGCGAAACTTTTTAAACGGGTAACCGCACTTTTTAGGAACATTGAAAAAACGGCCGCTACTCCCTACCTCACATAACTTTCTAATGAAACATCATGATAAGTTGCGGACATCACACTTAGAATCAGCAACTCAAATTAGCCCTGTAATAGTTTTTGAGCTGTTTTGTTTCCTTTCTAAGGCAAAATATGGCCTCTCATAGCTCAAAACCTCCTTTATAGTTTCTACCGTAATTCTACAGTAACGAGGAGAGATGGACGATTCGTTCTATACTGTAAATCTAAGTTGAAGCTAACTCTACAAAACGGTTCCTAACGCTTCTCGAAAGACTTCATTACAGAGAGTTATTAACAATCAAACAGTAGACACATTTTTTGGGAAATCCTGTATTTAGTATGGGAGTCTGATTAGTGATAGCACTAAAAGATGTTTGGCGGACAGTGTTTCGCAGTTACACTCATGGGAAGTGATTTATGAAAAAATACTGAACTCGATTTATGTCGGCCGTTTGCCCAATAGTGCCTCAATGAGGGCAGCTAGCACGGCACAAGGTGAGACGAGAGGCTTCCTCACTGGTTCACCTTGTTTGACACTGCCTTCAACATAAAAATCATCCACTCTTCGCAGTCATTCACTACGACAACTAGAGACAAGAAACATTACAATAGTAACTTTTTGTTTGACTTACGGGCATACTCCTTTCCAGTTCCTGCAGAACAGCGGGATATTTGTCGAGGTGTCGAAAAGGTTCGCTTAGGCCAGCAATCAGGCTTGCTACGTCTTTTCCTTTTGCCACAAGCACGCTACGCACGGCATCCCTGGATAAAATATTGAGATTATTCGACTAAATCATTCAACAAACAAAAATGGAAGAATTACATCTTCTCATTCAACACCTCGACAGCTTTTGGGTGATTCTCGCAATAAGCGACGAGCAAGCGCCTTAGCTCAGCAGCACAAGAGAGTAGAATTCCTCCAATGCGTTGTTGTGGAACTTCTAGACTTAACTAAGAATGTCAATCTTGAGTACAAAACTTAAACAAACGAACGTAAGTGCTTCCTTCACACGACTGAGTGTACTCTTTTGCAACAGACAGATATCTTCGATGTAACAGGAAAGCACAGCATAATCTTCAGGACTTAGTCTGAAACATAATTTTCAGTGAGATGAAACAAACAACTTCCATGACAAAAATAACTTACATGCTAGCAGCTCGGATTGGTAACAGAAGCTCTTCATAAGTTCTCTGCACGCTAAGCACGTAAGCATCTTCGGATCGAATAAAATCTCGCATTATTTCTGCTCGAAACTGCAGTCGAGAAGCATTTGGACTCATTACATCACCGCTCACTAGAAAATCTCATAGAACTTGGCATCTGTTTGTGTGTAACGTTAATACGTCAGTCTGTTCCGAAAAGAGAATCCTACTTCCAAATAGATGCAGACCACATCTTGGAAGCACACTTCGCAGAGGCAGCTGTCATAAGCTGGTCAAACTCCAAGGAAGCTGCGACTTGATTGTGAATGCTGACTACGATATAAAGCTTGAATAATTACCATTCGCTAATCTCGCTATTATCAATTCCTCACAAACTTAGGGTTGATGAACTGAGATCTGGTAAGGAGAGGTGAGCCGCTTTTGAGAATGAGTGATATGACCTTTATTCATTTTATCGATTACGTGCAAAAGTCTGCGCTGACGGCTACTTTCAAAGAATTTATCACATAGGCGCTGCCTGTGAGAAGCGCAACAGTGGCGCGGAAGGGGTAGATAGGTCTGCGCGGAGATTACAACAGACAGTAACAAAAAGTGTCGAGAAGTGGAAAACACAGCAAATAATCAGCAAATCCTGAATCTTACGCGCAGACAATGTATATATGCAGCACTAGCAAATAAACTTTCATCTGCCCAACTGTCGCTTTTTCCTTTTTCATCACAAGCTAAACTTTAATGATGCTAATGCCTAGTTTTACAGCAGTACTGCTTATGTTGACATAGCCTGGTAAAAGAAATACATGTCAACATGCAAGCTGATTAGCCGTGTCAACAGTGAAGAGTTCCCCAATCACGTGAAATTCACAATGACAAGTAAATATAAATATTCAAGAGGGTTGGCAGGTGTTTTGGTTTGAACAAATCGTTATCATTAGGAAAAACTTCAGGAAGTTAATGCTGGCGGCACACAATCATCCAGACGCAGCGTGTTATGGCTCCTATCCCTCAGGGAATCTTTCCTTTGTGTGTAAGCTTGAGGGAAAGGGAGACAAAGTGGTGCTCGCTGAGATTCATTTCCATGCAGCAATGTCCCGTTCTAAGAATACTTTCATAGTCATAAGTATGTAATCCCCCTATTAGCTTATATGTGTTACTCATTATTCAAAAAGAGCATGTACACATACCTGCGACTCCATTTCCGGCATTCCCACCATTGGCAAGTAAAGTCGCATTAGGCACCGACTTGGACCTCATCAATTTATCTATTTTGATTTCAATTTGAATCAAAAAAGAACAAATTTGCATCAAAACCAGAAAAGCAAAACATCAAGAGAATCATTCACCTTTCTCTGTGATAATACTGGCATAATTTGAAGGAAACCATCCAGTTTTCCCGTTCAGCGTGCCTTCCCACCAACCACCTTCAATCTGTTGAGTAACTGTGATCATATCGTTCTTGCAGAATGACAGCTGAATTGATATATGAACGAAGACTTTTATGGGAGATAGCCAATACTAGAGCGAATGCCAACCTCATCATTATTCTTGCCTTTGAAGTTATATTTTGCTTTGGCGACTACTAGAACTGGTTCGAGGTAATCACTGTCTAATGCAGCTTCTGCCATTTCTAAACATAAAAGATGTATAATATCGTATCAAAACTAAAACGTTACGAAGAATGACGAACCAAATATAAGAAAGTAATAACAAAGATTGGAGTAACGGTGAAGCAATGCCCAATTTGCATAAAAAGAGAACCAGTGATATCACTGATCAATCTGCGCACTAGCCGAGTTATGTAGATATGCCTATGAAATTTCGAACACGGAATAAAAAACCAAAAAGAACATTTCCTCATGCACATCAAACACTATGTTTATCAAGTGCAGCTGTACAAACACGACTAACACGAGGATTCCAAATACGTCCGCACAGTTAGCAGCCACCCAATTTCCTTCTTATCCAGCCAGGTTCGTAGAATGTAAACGTACGCTGATTTGTGTAGTTGCACGCAATGCGTGCCCTTGATCGAATTTGACGTCTTTTTGCTGTGTACATCCGCAGCTTCAGATTTCAACCATTTAATGCAGCAGTTCATTGTTTATTCTTTTGAATTAGTAAGCTCTGCAGGAAAGATGTGTCGAATGACGTACTTTTTGGACTTCCTCATCTGTAAAGTACTACTTCAGTTTCGTGGCTGACACGCCTATTGATGACATCGCTTGTAGAGAAACATGGGCCAACCATGGCTACACATAGTGAGCGCCTTACCCTCTTGCTTCGAAACTTTGTAAATCATAAATTGGCATGTTAAAGGCTTGCAATCATGGCTCATAACCGAGCGGACTGCGAAACGGACTCGGTGCCGTCCCAGCGCCAGGGATTGAATTGAGCAGCTATTCTATCCTCTGGAAATTTATAGGGTATATCGACGAATTTTGAATGAGATCAACTCTTGTAGCTGTGTATAGAGAGACTTGTAACTTCCAACATATCTCCACAAACAAGGAGCCTCAACTAGCCTGTTCGCAATATTTGAGACTCTAAGAAATAAATGGGCTCTCGACTGGAAGAACTCATGCTAAGAAAGAAGCTGTACCTGCTGAAATGAAGAGGACTTCCATTGGTCATCGTCTTTTTGCTTTTATGCAATAATTGACATGGTTATCTGAGCTGGTAATAGTTCAGTTGATAAAAAATGAGGTACTAGCAGAAACTCACTCACAATACCATGTTTCTTTTTCGTAAACTAGTGAACCAGTAATTTAAAGGTGCTATTTGGAGGAGCGTTCGCTTCGGACCACCACGCGGTTTCCCGCTATCTGCACATTTTTGAATTGAGTTAACGATTTTTTATATATTAGAGATTAGAGATAGATAGAGATAGATTAGATAAGATTAGATCATATATTTGAAGACTCCGCAAAATGTTAACAATAACTACTCTACGTGACTGAAACATTTACATAAACATTGGGCAAACACATATGATACGTACCTAGTTTGCCAGAAGCCATTGCCGTTTTACAGCATCATAGCTATAGAAAAGAAATTTGGGAGAAAGGTTATTCGCCTTCTGCTACTAAACAGAGTGAATCTCCCTACTTGCAGTGTTTCGGCAGAAACTCACTTTCTTGCTTTTGCTTCACTTGGTCTTATAATGAGACTCTAAGGGCCGCATGCATCAACATCCCTACTGGGGAGGGCATCGCGCTCAAAAGAAAGCATATCCTGAAGCTCCGGATATCTGGATTTCACGCCATATAACCTATCAGTAGGTACCCTCAACATGCTTCACTATGAATATATTGAACAGGGGCAAGAAGCTGTACAAGTCGCATTTTCCAGCTTTTTGTATGACCCCTGATGATCCCCGGTGGTCGGCCGTCTTTTCTTCATACAGTCGATGTCAATCACGCACTCCCTTTTGCATAGGAACATGCATGCGCAACGCAAGGTCCTTGCGCGCGAACCTTCAATCGATGAGGCCAATTTGAATGCCTGAGACATACATACGCGCGCGAACTTGCGCGAAGCTCTTGCGCTCACGGAAAGGGGAGCATGTGATTAATACGGACTGTAGTCATTTTTTCTTCGAAGTTAACGAAAACCTTCCAAAGTTCTTCTGTTCGTCTGAACCAACAGTGCTAAGCATGTTGCTAAGGAGAACAAATGAGTGTTTGAGATATCGAATTTTTCGACAAGCCCCAACTTTCGACTTGTGGTTCATTACAAATTTCATGATTCCAAAACTTCATTTGTTCTTGTCAGCAACCTGCTCAACACTGTTACGTTAGATAATCGGTACAACTTTGAAATGTTTCGTTGAGTTCGAAGAAGAAAAATGACTTTAAATAAAAGACGGTTGGCCACGAGGGATCAATAGGGGATCACATAAAAAACTGGAAAATGCGGCTTGTACAGTTTCTGTCCCTGTCCAATATGTTCGTAGTGAAGAATGGTGAGAATACTTACGGATGGGCAGACAGCGAAGACGAAAATCCGATACATGGAGCTTCAGGATATGAAGCTTTTTCTAAGCTGCGATCTCCTCCCCGGTGGGGATGTTAATGCATGCGGCCCTAAGAGTGCCTCCATACCCCGTCTGCAGCCGCCGTTAGCAGCCCGTATAGGCCGCCCGCGCTGCGCACGGAGAGCAGCGCTGTTGCTCCCACTGAAGATAGTTCGTACTGGAAAAAGCGTAGAGAAAACAGCGAGCGAGAGTGCACGGCGAAAGAGGAGTGGGTGGAGGAATATATGTCGCCGAATGTGGAAGAGTTCCGCGCGATTTCCTGCAAGAAAGCATGTCCGCGCATACAGTGCTGGCCAAAACTATAGATCCACTATAAAAAACTGCCGTAGTTCATCTGCTTCTCAACGAATTGATCTGAGATTTGGTACAGTTGTGTGTTCAACAGGCATTCATCAGTGACCGGAGCGGATTCCGCTTTCGTTAGATTATTCAGGAAAAAAATTAAAAATTTCGAAAAAAGCAGGCTCGAAGGCTGGCCAAAACTATAGATCCACCTAAAATTTCTGTCTGCTAACGTGACTCTTAGCTTCCAAAATCTTTTGTGCATAAACCTAGTCGAAAGTCAAAGCAGTGGGTTTAGTTTAGCTGCGTCATACCTTTATAAGAAACGCTTATCTGCTTTTTTTCCACTCAAAAACTGCTCTCATGCGTATTTTGTTCCCGAGAATGTGTTTTTGTAGAGAATTCCGCACTTTTTTGACTGGTTTGAAAGTGATAGGACTCCATCTATCTTGTAGATGCTTAGTAGCGTGAGCAGCAGAAAAAAATTCGGGTTTTCGTATCCAAAGCGCACCTGACACAGACATAACCGTAGGCCTGCGCTCGAATTTTTGCCTTCAAAATTGGTATCCGCTATTTTTATAAGCTCAAAATAATGTAGAAGCATTATTTAGCATTATTCACCTAAAAAGAAGTTTGTAAACTATAGTTACGATTGCTTGCGAAGTCGCACTTTAATTCTTTTTCAAAGCATAAGTCTTGCGGTGTGTTCGGCAATCTCAAAGTACTTACCAACTGGTACCTTCTTTGAATTTTGCCACTTTTTAGCTGCTAACTATTGAATACACCCTGCAATATATGTTGCCTTGTGATTCACATGAGCATTATGGTCAGAAGCAGAAATAACTTCAAGGCTTGTTGCAAATCACTATTTGCAGGATGAAGTCCTCAATTAGCCTGCATACTAGGATCTGCAGAAACCTGCAACCACTGCACACGGACTCTCATACATACCAACAATGCAACTACTCCAGTTCACGCTCATGACAACGTTGCAGAAAGAGCTTGAAGGCATAAATTTGAACGCAGGTCTGCGGTTAGGTCTATGTCAGGTGCGCTTTAGATACAAAACCCGAATTTTTTTCTGCTGCTCACGCTACTAAGCATCTACAAGATAGATGGAGCCCTATCACTTTCAAACCAGTCAAAAAAGTGCGGAATCCTCTACAAAAACACATTCTCGGGAACAAAATACGCATGAGAGCAGTTTTTGAGTGGAAAAAAGCAGATAAGCGTTTCTTATAAAGGTATGACGCAGCTAAACTAAACCCACTGCTTTGACTTTCGACTAGGTTTATGCACAAAAGATTTTGGAAGCTAAGAGTCACGTTAGCAGACAGAAATTTTAGGTGGATCTATAGTTTTGGCCAGCCTTCGAGCCTGCTTTTTTCGAAATTTTTAATTTTTTTCCTGAATAATCTAACGAAAGCGGAATCCGCTCCGGTCACTGATGAATGCCTGTTGAACACACAACTGTACCAAATCTCAGATCAATTCGTTGAGAAGCAGATGAACTACGGCAGTTTTTTATAGTGGATCTATAGTTTTGGCCAGCACTGTATACAAGGATGCGCATTTGTCGCAAATGATCGCGGGGACCGCCCTTTTTCGGCGACATATAGTCCTCTACCCAAGAGGAGTGACGCACAATACACACCTTGCTCACTCTCCGCGCTCTGTGCGGACGGCCTATAGCAGCCGCCAGCAGCCCGTAGCTACCGCTGGCCGCTTTTGTTATTGAGCGCAAAATTATTAGTTTTTCACTACACTGCTGCATCCGCCTACGCCTTTCACCTTCCACGCTTCTTCCTTTTTATTGCCGCCAGTATACAGTTCTATCTCATATATCATACTTATGTCCATTGTTGGTTGCCATACATTGCATATCCTATCGATGCCTTCATTTCACTTTTGCAATTTTTCTGGTCCAAAACGATTGTGAAGATCCTTGTCTAACACGACTGAAGCAAAACCATACTCAAAAGAGACAAACAGCACACCTGGAACGATTGGGCGCATCTAAAATCAAAGAGAATCACACGCCAAAACTCCAGCGGACTTGCGAGATAGAGGACTGCAATTTGATAAGCACCGATAAAAGATTGAAGCAGAACCGTATTCAAAAGTAAATAGCACAACTACAGAAACTACGCATCCAAAGTCAGAGGAAACACCGCGAAGAAACTTCGGCGAATCATGGTTCAACGGTAATACGGAAATTGAGCTAAGATAACCAATCTACGGCAAGATAATGACGATAATGGACACATGTATTATGTATGAAATCGGACTGCATAATGGCGGTAAAGAAAGGAAAAA